GTACATATGAGATCCTAGCCTTGTCCTTGCATTGAATTGCTGTTTCTTGTTATGATTGTGTTGTAAAATATAAGATAATCTAATATCTGAAAGTCCTCATTATCCTTTACGGTCTCACAAATAAAGATATGAGACTGCTGCTGCATGCCCAGTTATTCCTCCGCCACCATCTTGCAACTATACGCATTCATTCAAACACGATGTATTCACCTTGAAGTAGTGTTTGACTTTGTCCTGCAGGAAGCGAGGGTTTTCCTTTAGAGCCTTTCTGAACTGTGTGACGCTGTCGCTGATCTGTAGCAGCTCCACCGGGTTACCGTCATGGTTCCACGACGACGCTATGTACTAGAAACACACCGGTATAATGTCAAGAGGGAGGAACAAACATGTAACAACAGCACTGAAAAAAATGTATTGGAAAACAATTAAGATTCAACTTTATTGTCATAACGAAACGGAGTTTGGCATCTGACCAGAAGTGCAAAATAGCAATGCAAGTGTCTATATCAGGGGTGTCAAACTCAAGCCCCTGACTTCATGTTATGTGGCCCCACAAGAGCTTGCAAAGAATATAGTAATAATTCCTTACATTTATTATAGCGCTTTTCCAGATGCTCAAAGCGCTTTACAAATAAACACATGTAACGGTCATGAACTGTGGACAATACCCACAGAAGTAAATTCAGGTGAAGTGTCTTGCCCAAGGACAACGGCCTGACGCAATGGCGAGTGTCGAACTGGAGTTCCCCAACACCCCCCTTGATATATAGTATGTTTATTGTACATGCCGATTTACAGAAGCACGTTGCTCATAAACTACATGTCCCACAATGCATCTCAAATTTGACCTTTTTCTCAGAATTTGACTTTTTTTACTTCAAAACATTCATTTATTCTAAGAATTTGACTTTTTTCCAAAATGTCACTTATTTCTTTTGATTTTGACTTTCTTTCAGAATTTGGCTTTTCTTTTCAAATCATTGTGACATTCTCACTGAAGAGACTTGCAATTATTTGCCCTAGACTTCTGCTTTCAGACGTAGTTAATTATGAAGTTATTACCCTATCTGATAATAATCCAATGCAAAGGCAGTAATGTCATACAATACATTATTTTATATATATTAAATATTTATATATGCATTCTTATATCGTCTTAAAGTTACAACTGGCCCATTTGAGTGCAACCATGATGCTAATGTCGCCCGTGATGAAAATGAGATTGACACCCCTGGTAGTAGTATAAGGATATGAACAGATGTATACAGTGAGGTTATATTACTTATGTACATATATATATGTAATTACAAACAAACAGATTGTAAGATTAAATATTACACCTAAAACAGATTAGTTTGGCTCTTGCTCCATCTTATTTAAAAGCTGAATTTGCAGCATGGTTTATAGTTAAATGTATATTAATGTACGAGTCGTGAGAAACACTCTAGCGTAGTACTAGCTTGGAATTGAGATCCAAAAAAATCTCGATTCACAAACGAAAAGTTGATTCACAAATGCCTGATTGAAGGTTGTGAATATTAGACAAATCCTTTACATTTCCTGTAAATCAATACAAATGTATTTTAAAAAAATGTTTAGAAGGTGTTTTACATTTCGGATTACACATGAATAACCATTGTCGATCTGTTCATACAAATATTGAGACATATTCATATTTGTTAGGGAATAATTTGCTTAGGTATTCAACCTTTTCTCTTCTCACTGTCTCTTTTCCCATGGCATAGGTCTACGGCTTTGGGTATTGCTGCTATCTCTCTATCGATTCTTTTTCGATACTTTTCTTAAAAAAAGGGAAACAGTCTTAAATGTAATTATTGTGCTTTATTTCACACCAGAACCAGAACACACACGTTTAAACAATGAGAACAATACATAACATAAATGACAATAATTCGTATTAAATAAAATGAAGCATAATCTCAAACAACCTTTTGTGTGTGTTGGCTCCCTTGGTTTGCAGGGATCTAAAACATGTCTCACAGACAGGCCTTGTGGTGTCCGTAGGCTTGCCCTCACTGTCAGAGATATAGCTCAAATACTTCATATGTCAACAGGCCGAGGCGCAGCGGCAGTTGCACTCCCACTTGCAGCCATGCTTCTCCTTTTCTCACATGCTCTGGCAGCTGGCGCGTGCTTGAGAGAGGGGAGGGACTTGGAGCGTGCTTGAGAGGGGAGGGACTTAGAGCGTGCTTGAGAGGGGAGGGACTTGGAGCGTGCTTGAGAGGGGAGGGACTTAGAGCGTGCATGAGAGAGGGGAGGGACTTAGAGCGTGCTTGAGAGAGGGGAGGGACTTAGAGCGTGCATGAGAGAGGGGAGGGACTTAGAGCGTGCTTGAGAGGGGAGGGACTTAGAGCGTGCATGAGAGAGGGGAGGGACTTAGAGCGTGCTTGAGAGAGGGGAGGGACTTAGCGCGTGCTTGAGAGGGGAGGGACTGCAGGCACGGCTGCAGTGAGTGGAAGCAGAGCGATGAACACACACGTAACAGCGCTTTCTCACAGGAGTACTTTTCCCCGTCATTCTTAAAGTACCGATACTAATGAAACGGAGGAATCGTAACGTTTTTAACGGCAGGGTATCGCGGTACCTTTCAAGTATCGGTACACCGTGCAACACTACTACACACTACCCCTCCGTTCACGCGGAGGGTCCGCCACATTAAGTGCTGTTCCAAACCAACGAGTGTGGAGCGGTGTGGAGGGGGAGTGGGCTATCAAGCCCTCAACCAGCGAGTCTGCATCGGTGCTGACTGGAGTCCGGTCTCTACCTGACCGGTCTCAACGCTGTGTGTGTCCGTCAGGAAACACGCTGTTTACAAGTAGTTCAAACATCCACTGATAAACTGCGATGTTAACAACCTCATGATAACCTCATATGTTTTGAAGCTGAGAGTGTCACTCCACGGAGTTCACTCCGTCACGGAGGGGGAGTGTGTAGGGGTAGGGTTTAGGGCGTGGTTTGGGATTGGGCCGAAGTGTCCTTTCGGTTATGAAAACAAAATGGAGGTCACAGAGAAAGTGAACTCACCGAGGCCAGAGAGAGGCCGAAGTTTGTGGACTGGTGTTTCATCTGGATCTCGATCTTATGGAGCAGAGCCTCGATCCTTTCCTCCTCAAAGCCTTTCCTGTGATGGGTTATAAATGGGGAGTGGGTCAAGTTGTTCTATTAAATATATCTTAAAGCCTTTCCTGTGATGGATTAGATACGAGGAGAGGGTCAAGTTGTTCTCTTAAATACATCTTAAAGCCTTTCCTGTGATGGATTAGATATGAGGAGAGGGTCAAGTTGTTCTCTTAAATATATCTTAAAGCCTTTCCTGTGATGGATTAGATACGAGGAGAGGGTCAAGTTGTTCTCTTAAATATATCTTAAAGCCTTTCCTGTGATGGATTAGATATGAGGAGAGGGTCAAGTTGTTCTCTTAAATATATCTTAAAGCCTTTCCTGTGATGGATTAGATATGAGGAGAGGGTCAAGTTGTTCTCTTAAATATATCTTAAAGCCTTTCCTGTGATGGATTAGATATGAGGAGAGGGTCTATGGAATGCCGTTCAAGCCAAACATTTGATTTTTGCATCAAACAAAGCAGTGCACATTGAATATCAAGGATCCGTAGAATTTTCTGAATATTGGGTTGCAGATTAGAATTTTCCAAAGGGGGGTTCGTTTAGCATGAAACACTTGAAATAACTAGTGTTGCCTTGCCTTACACATTGAATGTAAAGCCATGAAATAAAAACCATAGCCCCCGATGTGACTGCTACTCACTCTATAATGTCATCGATGGTTTCACTGATGATCTGCTTCACCCTCTCCGTGTCTTCCTCAGCCATCCCCTGCAGACCGATGCTGAACGACGCCTCTTTGGTGCTGCCATCATATCTGCACACATCATAACACACTTCAAACGCTTGTAGAGGCAGAAAGAATTTCCCAAATTGGGATGAATAAAGTATAGATTAGATTCCTTTTATTCTCACTACACAGAGTGCAGCAATTCCAAGCATTCCCGATGGAGCAATCACACATAGCAGAGAGTATAAGTATCATTTTGACAATACAAGCTAAAACTTTTAATATATAAATTGACCTAATGTCAAACTGGCTGCTTAGGTACTACTACAGTACAGTTCAAATACAGATTATTTCAGTTCATCGAAATGCTGCACCTTAATGTTTATTTTATTTTGTATTTATTTGAGTGAATACATTATTCACAGTTTAATAATAATAAAAAAATATATATATATTTTATGTTTTGTGATACGTACCAAACCGTGACCTAAAAACCGAGGTACGTACCGAACCGAAATGTTTGTGAACCGTTACACCCCTACAAAACAATATAACATTACCATACAATTACAAGAGCAATAGGGTCAAGGCAGTAACAAATGGTGAATATATCTATCCATCTCAGCTTTAAGGTGCCGCCTTGTGAACATAACTGATGAATAAATAGTCTGATAAACAAGCTTTCAATTGAACACCCTGTCCGTTTATTCCCTGTTACTGTAATTACACTTGAATCAGCTTTTAAATCGGCATACAAAATAGGACTTTCAAAAACATAACAACCAAGCTTCAGCAGCCAGATGTTGTGTAAGCGTGTGTGTGTGTGTGTGTGTGTGTGTGTGTGTGTGTGTGGTCAAAAATGATTGATCAGAACCTCTGAATTAACAAACATTGGTTCCTACTGAAATCTAAAAGGACTAATTAGCTCCTATATGGCTCTCAACAATACATGAATGAATCTGTTTAACAGCACTGCGTGAAATTCAAGCGGTGAAATCCATCAGATGAGTTGTTGTCAATTAGTTAGCTTTCCAAGTCAACCAGTGAAATCAAACTGTAACATATCCAATTTAAGTAGAAAGCCGTTTTGCTGTTGTTATGTTGTTGTTATGCTAGTAGAATCATGGGCGTCATTTCCACTGGGGACAGAGGGGACATGTCCCCCCCACTTTTCAAAATCCCATTTGTGTCCCCCCCACTTTTTAAATGTGTTTATTTATTTTTTTAACGCGAGCGGTCATCGTCAAGGAGGAGCGTCTGTGTGTGTGATGATGTGTGTGATGCACGAGCGCATCTTGTGAGAGAGAGATAGAAAGAGAGAGAGACAGAGAGTTACGGGGGTTGTTGTTAGCATTTGGTGCTAGCTCGGAGCTAACGGAGATTAGAAGCTGTTTCATCAATAAGGAGAGGGAGAGCTCTTTCCTGTCGGACTTTGAGAGAGAGAGAGAGAGAGAGAGAGAGAGAGAGAGAGAGAGAGAGAGAGAGAGAGAGAGAGAGAGAGAGCCAGAGAGAGAGAGCGAGAGCGAGAGCGAGAGCGAGAAAGAGCGAGAGAGAGAGAGAGAGAGAGTTACGGGGGTTGTTGTTAGCATTTGGTGCTAGCTCGGAGCTAGCTCAGAGCTAACGGAGATTCGAAGCTGTTTCAACAATAAGGTGAGGGAGAGCTCTCTCCTGTGGGACTGAGAGATAACGTCAGCTCAGAGAGGTAAAGGACTCTGAGTGATTAGATTGTAAATTGTAGTCTAAGTTATCTCAGTGGGTCTCAAACTGTTTGGTCATCTACAAAACAAATATTTCCATCTATGTAATATTAGTTGTATATAAAATAAGTTAAGAAATCCTTCCAATGTGTACTATAGGTCAGTACAAAAATAAAAAACACAGTTTGAAAGGAGAGTGGTTAGTAAAATATGCAAAAATAAAAAGAAAGAATGCAGACTAGGTAAGATAAAGATAGGAGAGAGGAGTTGATCAATGATGTGTTATTGGCTGTGAGCATATTCTAATGGTTTTTTGATTATTGAAATATATACAGTTCTGTTTCATTTGAGTGTTGAGAGCTGTATCCATAAATCTCTTAATGTTGCCCTCAAAGTGCACCAGATTGATGCATTCAACTTCAATTTAAAGAAAACAAATCTTCCCGGGTGCATGCCCCCGGACCCCCCTAGACTAGAGGATGTGAGGTCATCACAAATAAAACAGGTTCACATGGATAGGATACTAGATAAGTGTGCACACTCATTATATACACTACACATTTTTCTTGGATTTGTTAACACGATAGTCCCCAATATATTTGTAGAAAGGCGGGAAATGGAATTAAATTGAGAAAATGTTTAATTGCGGAGGACCCCCTGTTTTGTGTCCCCCCCACTTCTCAAACCAAAGTTACACCTTTGAGTAGAATAGAATATATCTTTGCCATCATACAAAGTACAGCGACATGTCTTTGGCAACTCTCACTGCAGTAAAAAATAGACATAATAAATAAGTGGTAAAAGCAGAGGTAGTAGCGATGACAGTGCAACGAGATACAATTCAATGTGCATATTTACACTATATGATTAAAATAGCCATAAGTATGTCTACATAGTAATAATAATAGATTTAATTTGTTAGCGCTTTTACAGGTGCTCAAAGATGCTTTACAGATATAGTGAAGGGAAAAGAAAAGGAAGGAACAACAAATAAATATATAGTTGAAGTTAAAGTCAAATAGTAGTGCTCGTTGTGCTCACCCTGCGACGGAGGAGAAGTCGGTCCCGATGTTGGGTTCGATGAGAGCTTTGTAGAACGGAGAGTTTGGTCCAGACATCATGAGAGAGGACAGCAGGCTGAGCGTGAACCCTTCAAACGTGTCCGTGATGCTGCAGAGGAACCAGGACGTTAACAAGCAAACTCAAAGAATCACTTTTTTAAGAGGAGAAGTGGCAAATAAGGTATTTTTATTGAGGAAGAAACCCCTTGAAAAGCCGTCAAAAGACTGGCGTTTTAGGCCATTTCAAAATAAAAAAGCCACTGCTCTTCGTTGGTTTTGTGGTTTCTGACTCGCTTCAATTCCTTTCTTAACAAATGCGAGGCTCTATTTCTTTTTTGCATTGATCAATATATATTTGCTATCCATGCAGGCATCAAACAAACTGACATAAACCTGATCTATCCAACGAACTTACAAAAACAACTTGCATAATAATTCTAGGCGAGTATTAAAAAGAGCTCACGGTCAAAAGACTTCTTCCTCATCTAACCTTCAGTAATCACCTGCGTCTCCATTGTCCTGCTCTATATGGATATCATCGTCATATCTTGCATAATCACAGCCTCAGAGCATATCTAAGGACAGGTTCATATTTGGCAAATATAATCTAAAACATCAGAGAAAGGATCAAACAATAATAATCTGGTTAAAGTACAAATGGCTCCAGCACTATTTTAGCCACTGTAAACAAGGACATGAGGAGAAACAGAGGATGCAGTGGCTTCAGATTCTAATCAATGCCAAAGAAAGTTTGAGTACCACAGCAGGAGAAGTTTTTAAAAGCTGCAATAGAATTCGGATTAGGATGAAACCCTCTTTAATGGTCACCATGCAGAGCACACAGCACACAGTGAAATGTGTTCTCTGCTTTTAACCCATCCTAGCACCAGGAGTCTAGCACTAGGAGCAGTGGGGGGTGTCTGGTGCCTTGCTCAAGGGCACCACGGCAGGGCAGGAGGTGAACTGGGACCTCTCCAAGTAGCAGTCCACACTCCATATTTTAGGTCTGGTCGGGGACTTGAACCGGAGACCCTACAGCTCCCAGTCCAAGCCCCTACTGACTGAGCCACTGCCGGACATTATATGCAATCCATCTTTTACTTCTTCCTCCTCATCCAACCATCTTCACCTGTGATCCCAATGTTCTGCTCAACACATACATGTCATATCCAGTTTAACACAGCCTGATTGCATGATGTAAAGACAGCAGGGGGAGACTCTTGCCTTTTTAACTAATATACAAGACTAATCCTGTCCAGGACTATACAAACCACTGATAACAAGTCTCAAACAAACGGATCAGGAGAAACAGAGGATGCAGTATCTGTGGAATATCATAAATGCCGTCCTACCAATGTCTCTGTGAAAGACAGGAGGAAATCTAAAGAGACAAAGTGTCCTTACTCTCCCAGCAGGAAGCTCACACACAGCGTGTCCTGCCTCTTTGGGTCTGGAGCCATGGCATCAGGGCCGCAGGTCACATGGTCTTCTCTCTGGGGGGAAAACCACACCGAGTATTGAACGTATTTCCACTTATAAATTATAAAACAATAGAACTATGCATGCAAGTGAGAATTTAATACATGATGGGTTTGAATCAGTGTTTCTCAAACGTTTCCATACCAAGGACCACTTAACCAATAAAAAAACACTCACGGACCACCTAACTCCACAAATATTCAAAATCACATCGTTTTTCTAGAACAGATTACAAATCGCCTGAAAATGGGACAAACAGGTGGCAACATGTGTGACGAAGGTGTTGCGCTCGGCTATATCATGCGATCGAAAGTTAAACTTAAGCTCGCTCCATTGCGGAGATATTCCCGCGAGAGTGCGGAAAACTTTTATTTATTTATTTCAAATGTTACCAATATACTCACGGACCACTAGGGGGTGCTCACAGACCACAGATGGTCCGCGGACCACACTTTGCGAAGCACTGGTTTAAATGATTCAATTCTTAGTATATTTACACTCTAATACAGGGGTGTTCAAACTACGGCCCGCGGACCTTTTTGAATCGGCCAAAATTCAAAAAGTATAATGGAGAATGGCTCACAAATTAAACTTGTGCTCGTCTTATATTGCACTTCTTAAATATAAAAATATATTACACAGTAGTATTCATGTAGACCACTTTTCTAATAAATTCAGTCAATTAAAGTTGTATACATTTTCTAACATATCTTAGTTGATAAGAAAAAAGCCCAATGACTTATTTACAACAAGCTTGAAATACACCCTTCATATTTCCCTTAATGTAATCAATCTGAAGCTTCTGTTTCAAGGGATGAGCTGCCAACACTCACGAGCATAGTTTACTTACATTTAATTAATTTTGCTAACTTATAACTGAACTTATGAGGCGATATACCTCTACTGAGTGGCCCAGCCCTTCATATATTTTTCATGTGGCCCTCGGTGAAAAGGTTTGGACACCCCTGGTTTAAATGATTACATTGATAGTATCTCAACACTGTAATATGTGTGCGTTGTGAGCTTACAGGGCTGCTCCAGTGTGGCTGTGACGGGACCTCTGTGTTCGGGTTGATGCGCTCAAACCTGGACAGAGCTTCCTCTTCGATCTGCTTCAGATGCTGCTCCAGAGGCAGATCTCCATATGAGAAGAACCTGAAAGACGGATTTAAGACTCTCTCAGTGTGTGTTCTCATTTCTGTATGTGTCGCTTAATGGTTTAGCATTTACACGGGAACGCCAACGAACCGAATTCGATATCAAAAAAGTCTTCCGTTCACACAGATACGGCTCAAGAAACGTGTCCCTTCACACGAGACCGCTCGACCCGCTGGAGACGCTGTAGTACATATGCCGGGCCTGTAAGTGGCGCTGTACTTGTATACACAAAATACACCAAAAGCAGCGAGCATGGTTGCCATGGTTGCCCTTCTGTTTATGCCCCGCGGTGGATTTAACAACATGTAGTTCTCCATGTCCACTTGTTGCTGATGGTTGTGGTAGAGGAGCTGTAGATTTTGCACTAACATCTGTAGCATGGTCAGTAGCAGTAGCTGCTGACAGTAGCTGCTGACAGTAGCTACTGACGTCTTTGGGTTCAAGAAAAGCGCTATAGAAATATAATTTATTATTATTATTAGATCTATCCACCTTGGGACCGGTTATCGTTTGCGGGGTCCGTTTCCGCAGTTACGTTACGGCGTCGTGTGAACGCAAGGGCTATACGAAAGAGAAAAGTAGCGGATACAACCTTCTCGTTCCCGTGTAAACAGCACCTTAAGCTAATGCAGTAAGAGTTTGCATCTTCATGGTTGATTGCATTAATTGTAATAATAATATTAATTGTATAGCGCTTTTCCCTAGTGCTCAAAGATGCTTTACATAAAATCAGAAACGGAAAACAGTACATAGACGAAAAAACATGAACAGTAGTCCTAATCTAATGTGATGCATGTGTTTGTTTTATTATTAATTATAGTTGATAGGATTGTGTTACATGCATGTAACATTTTGAAAGCAGCATGGATACTGTCCTGTAATGACAACACATGAGTGTATTTATAAGGAAGATATACATATTAGTTTTCCTTTATAAGATGGATGGTTAGGGGAATGGTCTGGCACTGTTTCAAATGTTTCTCTGACACCATAACATGGGATTATGCTGTAATCAAAGTACATTTCAGCTATCCTGTGAGTGTGTGTGTGTGTGTGTGTGTGTGTGTGTGTGTGTGTGTGTGTGTGTGTGTGTGTGTGTGTGTGTGTGTGTGTGTGTGTGTGTGTGTGTGTACCTGGCGTTGCTGGGGTGGTAGTGTGTGGCGTGGAACTGTTTGAGTTGCTCCCAGGTGAGGTCGGGGATGTCGAGCGGCTCTCCTCCCGACACCACAGAGTACGTGTGGTCCGGGAACAGCTTGTTCTGGAGGTGCTGCGCGTACACACGCTCGTTCTCTGACTGTAGAACACACAACGAATACACTCTTAAATACACTATTTCATATTCTCACACAGGCCAGGCGTTACTAGCTCCGAGAGAGATAGCGTAAACACGCAAACGGAGATAGTAGTTTAAGTGTACACACGCTTGTTTTCTGAAGGGTTAATTCTATCCTCTGTCCTTCTACTTGTTTCAGTTTAAGATCATCTACAAACAGTGTCTGTTCTTGCTTCCCTTGTGTAGCCTTGCTTTTTTGAGGTCATTTTGTTCAAGGAGAGCACAATATTATTGTTTTCAATAGAGGTTAGAGAGTGATGCATTAACTTAAAGTAGGACATGTTTAAGTTAAAGCACCTTACATACAGTGGGGCAAAAAAGTATTTAGTCAGCCACCAATTGTGCAAGTTCTCCCACTTAAAAAGATGAGGCCTGTAATTTTCATCCTAGGTACACTTCAACTATGAGAGACAGGATGGGGGGAAAGCATCCAGGAAATTGTAGGATTTTTAATGAATTAATTGGTAAATTCCTCGGTAAAATAAGTATTTGGTCACCTACAAACAAACAAGATGTCTGGCTCTCACAGACCTGTAACTTCTTCTTTAAGAGCCTCCTCTGTCCTCCACTTGTTAACTGTATTAATGGCACCTGTTTGAACTCGTTATCAGTATAAAAGACACCTGTCCACAACCTCAAACAGTCACACTCCAAACTCCACTATGGCCAAGACCAAAGAGCTGTCAAAGGACACCAGAAACAAAATGGTAGACCTGCACCAGGCTGGGAAGACTGCATCTGCAATAGGTAAGCAGCTTGGTGTGAAGAAATCAACTGTGGGAGCAATTATTAGAAAATGGAAGACATACAAGACCACTGATAATCTCCCTCGATCTGGGGCTCCACGCAAGATCTCACCCCGTGGGGTCAAAATGATCACAAGAACGGTGAGCAAAGATCCCAGAACCACACGGGGGGACCTAGTCAATGACCTGCAGAGAGCTGGGACCAAAGTAACAAATCTTTGGAGGGAGTTGAAAGTCCGTGTTTCCCAGCGACAGCCCCAAAACATCACTGCTCTAGAGGAGATCTGCATGGAGGAATGGGCCAACATACCAGCAACAGTGTGTGGAAACCTTGTGAAGACTTACAGAAAACGTTTGACCTCTGTCATTGCCAACAAAGGGTATATAACAAAGTATTGAGATGAACTTTTGTTATTGACCAAATACTTATTTTCCACCATCATTTGCAAATAAATTCTTTAAAAATCAGACAATGTGATTTTCTTTCTCATTCTGTCTCTCATAGTTGAAGTGTACCTAGGATGAAAAGTACAGGCCTCTCTCATCTTTTTAAGTGGGAGAACTTGCACAATTGGTGGCTGACTAAATACTTTTTTGCCCCACTGTACCTCTGTGTGTAAAAACAATGAGATCATTATAGAGAAGGGATCATTTCTATGCATATAAAATGTGAATGTGATTGTTGACTTACAAAAGCGCCCTTCATCTCATTGAACACGACTCCTTTAAACACCAGAGGGGTGCTGCGATCTTTGGGGTCTTCATGCTCCAGCCTCCAGCCCTCCTGCCTGCAAAATAATCAGATCAGTGTGAAGGTTACAGACCTGCAAAGTGAGATTTGCTAGCTGTAAGTGACCTGGCTGTTTATTACAATCACAAGTAAGTCAAGTTAAAGGGGACCTATCATGCAAAATGCACTTTGTGATGTCTTTTATTCATCAATATGTGTCCCCGGTGTGTCGGGGAACTCACGCAGCGTCAGAAAATAAAACCCTCTCTCTTTTCCTCCGTACCCAAATCTCTAAAAACGGGGGAACAACGGAGCTGATCCAGATTTGCGTCCGATAAGACGTAATATAAGAAATGTGGACCCACGGCCCAATCAGAAACGTTGCTATCAGAAACAATGCCCGACTGTTTTGGACGTAATATGGTCGGTGTTTACATTAGCATGGCTAACACTCAGAGCTAACCTGTACTGGAGAGCATGTGTGTGAAGAAGCAGGAAGTAAAAAGGAACTCACCTTGTGGTATAACCGGCAAGAGAGAAAGCCTTTGAGCTCCAGACTGTTTCAGAGAGAATCCTTGATAATAGGGCTGCTCAATTAAATCGTATTTGAATCACAATTACGATTTTGGCTTGCACCGATTATGAAAACAACATAATCGAAATATAACGAATATTTATTAAAAAAATGTATTGGTTTTTCAGTTGAATTATACTTAAAGTTCAGGGTAATCAACTGTTAAAAACATACTGATCAATTTTCTTTTTCAATAAATGGATGTTTTTAAAGTAAACGGATAATCGTTTTTAATAATCGTGATATCAATTATTGACCCAAATAATCGAGATTATGATTTTTGCCATAATCGAGCAGCCCTACTTGATAATCCATGATATGGCATTTCATCACGGCAGTATTTAGTTTAGATAGTAGCTGCCGGGTCCCGCATGAGCTCAGCCCCCTCCTCTTTAAAGCTTTATACCCCAAATCAGCACTTTTGAAACAGGAAGTGAAATAGAGGGATATGAGGCACGGCTAGAATGGGTGATCTGTTTGGTATTTTGAGCAAAACACTTCATAGACATGTTTTTTATAGATTTCTATATATCTGAGACCTATGCTATTGCCTAAAAACAGCATGATAGGTGACCTTTAAGTTGACTTTGCCTACCTGTTGTATAGAATAACACCTCAGCTTGAGCATTGTGACTTTGCAACCATAGTCAAAACTCACCAGAAATCCTGCTCTCGTAAACAAGGGAAGAAAACTGCATCCAGATACACCGAAAGAAGATTCTGGAAGTCTTTCCCATTTTGTGTTGAGAACGGATACATGGTGTAGTCACTGGCTGCAAAACAACAAACAGGCATTTTTTTTCTTCTCATATTTGAAGTAAAAAATAAGGTACCTTTTCATTTAAATAATCAAAACTATACAGAAATTCTACAAGAATGCACGAGCAATAGAAGACAAAGTGACCTGGGGGGACAGAGCCTTCTCCGTCGCTGCCCCCTCCCTCTGGAACTCACTCCCACAACCCATCAGAGACTGCACTGACCCCCCCACCTTCAAACAACTCACCTCTTCAATCTGGCTTTTAATGTGTGATTGTTTTTGTATTATTTGACTTTAACTATATATTTATTTGTTGTTCCTTTATTTTATTTTAACTATATCTGTAAAGCGTCTTTGAGCACCTGTAAAAGCGCCAACAAATTAAATCTATTATTATTATTAAGTGTAGCATATGTGTAAACAACAGACACGTTTACATGCAACCACTCTCATTTGTAATCACTATAATAAAACTTAAGGAAGTCCAAACATGATACATGGGACCAATAAACCTCTGGTAAACTCAAAACTTTGGATACGTGAGCTTCGCCACCTCCTTTGCTCACAGACTCAGAGGTCAGTGTGTATTTCCCATGTTCCCCTTTAAACTGTGGGTTTTCTCTGGAAGTGTTTCCTTGTACGATGTGAGGGTCTAAGGACAGAGGGTCTAAGGACAGAGGGTCTAAGGACAGAGGGTGTCGTTTTTCTCATACTGATATTCTGCAGAAACTGTGCTGTTGTATTTGCTGTAAAGTGTCTCTACTGTAGGCTATTTTTTATTTTATGTACAGCACTTTGGCTCGACCAAAGATCGTTTAAAAATGTGCTATATAAATAAAACTTGATTTCTCCGTACCTGTGAAGGCGTTCATGAAGGTGGACAGGGAGCGTGTGAGCATCTTGAAGAAAGGGTCTCTGCACGGATACTTCTCAGATCCACACAGCACCGTGTGCTCCAGGATGTGAGGGACCCCGGTGCTGTCCATGGGGGTCGTTCTGAGCTGGACACTGAAGAACAAAAAGCATCACATTTATAGAATAGAATACTTTATTGTCATCATGCAGGAACAATGAGATGAGTAGAGCTACTGAAATATAAAAAAACAAGAGACGTACAAAACTCAGGAGAAGACAACATACAAACAACAAGCATTCATACTTCGATATGCAGATACAGTTAAAGTGCAGGAATATATCGGTTTAAGTCAAATATATATCTTTGTACACGGTTTAAGACAGCGTTTTTCAAAGTGGGGGCCCCGACCCCCCGGGGGGCCGCCAGGGGAGTCACGCAAAGTTTTTTAAAGTTACATTTTTTTTTGATTTGTAGTAATGCTGTCAAAATTATCGCGTTAACGGCGGTAATTAATTTTTTGAATTAATCGCGTTAAAATATTTAACGCATTTAACGCATGTGCAGAATGGCCCGCCCCATATGTGCCACCAGTGGCAGCGCCAGGGTATGGCTGGGGTAGGCTACACCCATACCAAGAAATGGCTTAGCCCCACCATGAAAAATGATGTTAAAGGCGGCAAAATAAAGTCTGCCAACTCGCGCCGAGTAAATTGCACAGACAGCAGTTAGTAAGATTGATTTCAGCAGCCACGGTTTTGAAACCTTTTGTCACGTAGTGATCGTCTTCTCAATAGAACATCTTTGATAACGGCGTGGTGTCGTGTTGTTGCAGGAAGTCCGGACGGAAAATACTTTTGCTGTAGTACAGGGGTGCACATAACTGGTACGCAGGTTATGTGCGTAATCTGAAATGCGTACCGTCACTTGTGTTACAAAGCGCATTTGCGTACCGATGTACTTGTGAAGCTTTTCCAGAAGGCGGTTAGATCACCGGACGACAGAGTCGGTCTCCGTGTGCACAGACAGGGCTGCTGTTAACGTCGGTCTGTACAACGGAACTGTGCCAAAACTACGCCAACCGGCTGCGGAGGAAGACTCTCCTCCTCCTCCTCCCCCCCCCCCCTCCTCCTCCCCCCCCCCCCCCCCCCCCCCGCTTCACTGGAGAACTGCGCTAAAACAGCTGATCACAACGTTCACACTCTGTGGTCACGAAGTACTCCACTAGCCCCCCTCTGTCGACTTTCCTGAAGTACTCCCCCGTTGATAGAAATCAACACGTAATGAAATAAGACCCCACGGTTTGATGATTGATAGGTGTGTGGGCTGTCTTTCATTTTGACACGCAGAAACATGTTATAATAAACATAGATACTGTATGTTAAATGGATATATCCGCCTTCTTTCATTTATCTTTCCATTCCCACAACAATATACATAAAGAAATGGCATATTTTGGACATAGTTCGAATGGTGATTAATCTGATTAATTCATTTTTAAGCTGTGATTAATCTGATTAAAAATTGTAATCGTTTGACAGCCCTAGTTTTTATTAATAACTACATATCTATCAATCTATGTGTCCTTTGATGCCAATCTTTCAATATTTTTTACTTATTCATATATATTTGTTTCTTTTAAATCACACGACCGCCCTTCAAGCCAATCAGAATTGAGCTATCGCTACTGAGAGTGAAACTGAGTATCTGCTCAGCTTTTGGAGCAAGTGAGAGCTAGTGAATATTTCACTCTGCAGCTGGATGAGAGCACGTATGTAGCAAATATTGATGTTTATATATATGAATATAAACATGTTTATTGTTAATATTACTGTTGAATATTATATATAATATTATTAAGGCATAAGTCGCTTTCAAAAATGCTAAAAAGATATGTTTATTGTTCATATTACTGTTCAAAATTATATAATATTATAAAGACAGAAATCACTTTAAAAATATGTTTACTGTTGATATTACTGTTTAATATTGTGTTAAGAATGTTTATAACAGAAGACACAATCAATGTAATGAATGACAAACAAAAGATAAATACAAAACATTTTTAGAAGAATAACTGATTATTAATTATTAATACAAATATATATTAAGAACATGTATTCAGCTGTATGATTAATTTGTCATATTCTCCATCATAATGTACTCATCATTTAAAAAAACAATTGCAACAGGGGGGATAATGCTATATGGGGGTCCTTGGCATGGCAATATATCATATAATAACGTATTTCAAAGTCATGCTGTGACTGTAGTGAGAGTGTTACATTTCTCACACTTGACCATGTTAAAGATCTGTTGTCATGTATGAATATTAGTATTTGGAGCTGCTGGAACACATTTAAACAACCCTGAATCTAGAAACTACATTTCCCATGATGCACCTGGTGTGCTGCTCATCCTCCCTGACCTCAGAATCATTGTTTTGGCTGTGCGTCATTATAGTATTTCTCATTGGAAGTGTTGCCGGGTAAATCATTGTTTCAGAGGGTCACATGATCTTTAGCCAGTTTCTACGAGTCTTAGTTCGTAACTCCATCATATACAATGTTACACAAAGCCCACTGAGACACTCCTGTTTTGTGATATTGGGCTATACAAATAAAGTTTGAAGTTGTACACGGTTTAAGATGCAGCTGTAGTGCAATAGCGTATTTCAAAGTCATGCTGTGACTGTAGAGGGAGTGTTACGTTTCTCACACTTGACCATGTTAAAGCTCTGTTGTCATATAGAAGTATTTGGAGCTGATGAAACACAAACAAACCTGAAGAGGTTATTGGCGTCATCTCTGGCCGCATGCAGGTACTGAGCCCCAGTTTTATCATGAGTCAACTTCACTGCTGTGAGAAACAAGTCCGGGACCACCACAACCTGGGAGAACAGGATTAGAAAGTGAAATGACATTTTGTTTTAAGGTTCAAGGCCTCCGACACTGAATCAAGCTTTTTACTAAGTGGTGTTACTAGAAGGTCAATCAAATCATACTGAGACAGTCAACCACAAAACAAATTCACAGTACATCCTTCGTGTCTGATAACTTATTATTCCCCAGATACGATATACTTTATTGTCCCTGTAAGGACATTTGTTCTGGACAGTTCCGCATACATGTACACAAACATAGTAAACATTAAAATTAGGGATGCTCCGATCGAGATCGGCCGATACTCACTCTCTACCGATCGATCGGTGCTCTCTAAACATGCCGATCGCGAGAGCCGATCGCATGACGTAAAATACATGACACTTTTCTCTGTGTGCGGCAAAACAAGCTCGCCAGAATGGCTTCACCGGTCTGGCATTATTTTAATGTCCGAAAAATACAGTAAAATAGCGGAATGCAACGTGTGTGAAGCAGAAATCCTGCAGCTCCGCCCGCCGGACCGGGGAGCGAAACACACAAGAGTTAGACCTAACACACTTAGCTATTTTATCTACCTCTGGAACTAGCTAAACTAGTTATTATAAATATATGTATTCTTCATTGTCGGGTCACTTATTACTGGATCAGCTGCATGAGATACTGACAGGCTGTCAGGAGAGAGAGAGAGGGGGGGGAGAGAGCGCTTCCGCTCATTTCTCCCGTGTTATTATCCAAAGTGAATGTAAACTTGAATAATGTACTTCATTTGAATGTAATAATTAAGTTGATTGTTGTTTGTGGAAGCTCCAGTGAATGAGCATTAACTGAGTTTAAACATCACTTTAAATGGAAGATTTAAAGTGATGTTTAAATCTTCCATTTAGGCCCCGCCCACTCGATCGGATCGGCGATCGGTATCGGCCGATACTGATTCCGGCCCCGAAATTGTCGATCGGAGCATCCCTAATTAAAATACATACACATATCATCAGTCATACACCGTTTGAACAAACGCAATACACAGACGCACATACTGACAATGGCGACCTATTCTTTCACACACAGTGACGTCACAGCTACCCACAATGCAACGCGCGCCATATATTTTTTTATAAAGACGCCATTTTCCTGGAGGTGCAAAAATCCTGGCAAGCTAATATAAACAGCTAGCTAACGTAGCCAGGCAGAGCGCACTAGGTTTTTTTTCTGAATTAACGACCGAAGAAATCGCTGCATGTCTTCGGATTACATCTCTGGACTTGAGGGGTGTGCTCTAGGTCGTCACCAGCGTAAACTAGAGCTGTGTGGGTTGTTGGATGTACAATGTATGGAATTACGACCCTCAAAAGTGGCCTTCGGTCGATTTTGGCATCTACGTCTATCTTCTGGAATGATATTCTGTATGCACCTTGCGTGAAATGGTTGATACCGGAAGTACGGTGTCGCCCTCGGCCCAAAACCCGTATGTGTGTGTGAAAGAATTGCACAACCCTCAAGGCCAACATTTAGATGCATTTAGCCATCCACAGTGTTCATACAACTTGACTTTATAATCCCTAAATTATACAACCTTTAGTGAAGCATAAGTGGAGATGATAGAAGTAACTTTTAAATGAAGGAAATAAGCGTACTTCTCTGACTGTAAAGCCGTGGATTTTCTGTCCTGCTTGGTACTGACAGGCCCTCTCTTGTGCTTTGGTGCTCTTCAGCCTCCATGTGTGCTGCTGTCCATTGAAACTGCAAAGAAAAAAAGGTAATTGTACAATGAATAATTCACCAATCTTTGTACAAACTTATGCAGATATCTCGATATTGTATAGCATTGAATATCGTATGTATTGCATGACATTTCCACACAGAAGGATATGTTTCATCTTACATCGCAAACAATGCATTTCCAGATTGTGCATTGATTTCAGAGCATATGCAAAAAGACATTACTTCGTTGAATATCTGGTTTATTATTAAGTGACACATTCCCACAGCAGGAGAACACTTTATAATGATGGTTAAGCTTAATTGGGAGTTTCCTAAATATTGCAAACGTCCATGTGGACCTTGAGGTTTAAAGCCCTAAAGATACGAGATACATAAATGGGGAATGAACAAGAACTGTGAGGATATTATTTCATCTATTATTGCATTCACAGAGTGTCCATTTCAGACCATATGTTAATATACAATTCATTATTAAACAATACATGTCTACATGTGATAAAAAAGGAAGGTCATATAAACAAACCGGCGTGCAACACCAATAAAGGCTCAGGTGAAACTGTTAGCAATATTTATTTCAAACTACAGTAACTAAAAACGTTTCTTCTGAATGTTTAAAACATATTTATAAACAGTAAGGTTAGTTGTTAGTTAGGCTGTTTCATCAGTTTAAATGCTAACCCATGTCCCATTTCTACAAAGTCAGAGCCCCGTGTTATCTTAAATATCACACAATATCCAGTCACGTTGTCGCAGACAGTCAGTTAATGTTGGCTTGACACTACCAAGTCAACAACATACACAATGAGCATTTATTTTATTAAAAATAACCCATGTGTGTGTAAGCTAACTTGCTAACTTACCTCAGATATCTAAGTTTCTGGAGCACTCCCTTCGTTTGCCGAAACATGGCTTTGTCAGTGGCGAAATGATTAGTCTCCAAGTGTATTCGGCTTTTAAAATAACACTTTTGTAATTAAATATTGTCAATAATTCCACATTATTTCGTTTCGCATATCAGGTCATGCTGTGTGTTGGACAGTTAACACATTGGTTAGTTGCACACGTAAAACATGGCCGCCACAGCCGCGCAGATCGTAGATCTAACAGCTTATGTATGCGCAGTTACCATGGCAGTTACACCCATCCGTATGTAATGTAACTCTAAACTGAGCATTTTTCGACAACCGTACGCGGATCATTCCACCTACAAATATGCTTGCTTCTGATTGGTCGAGACGAATGAAAAGCAGATTTGATTGGCTCAACGAAATATCACCAAACCATCCATGACCGCTGTGTGGAGTTTTTGAAGGGCAGCAATATTTGTTTACGTATTAAAACCCAGTATAAAACTTTAACTTCGTCCAACTTCAAACGTAACGTTATTAATTTAAAAAGAATCCAAGGATTTGATCTTCCGTTATTTTTCTTAAATTGTAATTATGTTTCTTATCCAGCAGATAGCGCTAAAAGATCATATTTGGCCAATCACATTAGTATGTTGGTGAGTAACTTTGTTGGGGATGCTTTTTCCTATTTATTCCACACTCAGATCCCAAAATACGAGAAAAGTGGGAAATACATGTAAGGTAACAGGTTACATACACATGTTAAAGTGCAACTAAATCATCTTCACTGTGCATTGGTCCCCCACATTTATTTCTAACTCATATTTTCCATCACATTCAAATACATAATTATTACGAAGACTGTTCAGTGTTGCTAAGCAACTTTTATATTTGCTATTACATTGCATCTTTTGAAGGGTAGACCTTGAAAACTGAATAAAGAATCTACTTTTCAAAGTACGTTTTTTTCTATTAGCATCATTTGTTGGTGCATTTCATAGTTATTGTGTTTGGTTTGGTATGCTGAGAGTTTGGCTCTTTATTATGAACAAAGTATGTGCTGTCTGTTCGCTTAGGCATCTTTCTTTAGCTGGTATCATCTTTGTGACATATGTAACATCAATTCAATTGATGTTTTCTGTGTATAAACGTTATCCTTTTGTAAGGTGGCTCGTCTTTTGCATTCTGCATTTCCAGACCAGTATTGTCATGTGAGAGCGAGTCTTCTCCATCATATCCATCAGTCTGGTTTCTGTGAAGCAAGGAGCAGGTGAACCCGCCGGAGAAGCAGGGATGCACAATGTGTCAGCCTTTCATTCTTCCAGTATATTGATTTGTACTATACGTTTGTTTATTGTATTTGTATTGTTTTATTATTAAAGTGTCTACAGTGTATTTCATATACTGTGCATATTTCCACTATCTATACACTGCACTGAAACACTTTTCTTGCACTTCTGGTTGAATACTAAATGCACGTAACTCTCCCAGTATACTGCAGTAAAGGTGAAAATCATCAGATATAATCTAAATCTAATGTATGTATGTTGGAGTCTCTGCCATAGAGATCTGCACCGATGAGTTAGATAGATGGATGGATAGCTAGATAGATAGATAGATAGATAGATATAAAGATAGATAGATATAGATAGATATATAGATAGATAGATAGATATAAAGATAGATATAGATAGATATATATATAAAGATAGATTTAGATAGATAGATAGATGGATATATAGATAGATAGATATATAGATAGATAGATGGATAGATAGATAGATGGATAGGGACGTGTTTTTGTTACAGGACCAGTGAGTTCAACATTAAAATACAAATACTTAAAAAGTAGAATAGACTTCCTCCTCCTTCCGTGCAGAAACCACTCGTCTTGTATCAACTTCATCAGCAGACTGCCTTTTCTGTTCAGTTATTTATTTGATTGTCTATTTCTAAATATCTATTGAGGCACCCACGGTCATCCCTTATGTTTCCCCTGACAGCATGTGGGAGATTTTCCAGCAGCATGAATAGGAAACCTTGGTGAGGAGGAATGAGGGCTTTTTTCAGAGCCAGCATCCTCCAACATGTGAGCTCCAGTCTGCATGTTCATTATCTGCAGAGACCTTGAAGACACAAAGCAGAGAAACAGGCTGTGAAATATTCACCTTTAAATCCTGATTACAAGCAGAGCAAAACGCGGCGATGATGTGATATTTCAGTGGAATTTAAGTTGTTCAAGGATTATTTTTTAGGCAAAATTGACAACTATTTGATATATTATTGTATTTGAATCAGTATCAGAAATACTTTTAAAGTCCCAGGGGGAAATCGTTTTGTGTGACAGTTGACCCATTTAATAATCAGGGTTCATACACTTTTTCACCAATGATTTTCAATGACTTTTCCATGACTTCTCAATGACCTTTACCTAATTTTCCATGACCAACATTTTTTTACCACTGAAAATCTTTTATTTGAACATGGAACAGGAACATAAGGTCTGCATATGAAACATGTTGTGCCTATCTAAAACAAATCAAATAGTAGGCTTACTAGCTTCTACAGGATAAGCAACTGCAGTCAGGGAGGCAAACTCATCAGGTATGAAAAAGGTGACAAGGATCCGAGCCCCCCCCCCCCCCGGAATATCGGCTTTAAAATGAGGAACAGAGGATGTTAGCAGTCAGAACAACTAAAGCAGCAGGTAATAATAACAGAAACGCCAAAGAGTCACATCTAATAGAAATATATAAAAGCATTTATTTTAATTGTGTAGCAGTCAGTTTATAATTCTGGCAGCACTGTTGAGCATTTTGAAAATGTATTGTCATGCCTCTGCAAGGCTTAGTCTTTCTATCTTTATAGCCAGTCGTGTAAAGTAACTAAGTTCATAAACTCAACAAGTACTATACGTGGGTACAATTTTGAGATACTTGTACTTTCAATGTTTTGCTACTTTGTTCTTCTACTCCTCTACAGTTCAGAGGTAGATGGTGTACTTTTCCTCCACTACATGTATTTAATCCCTTTAGTTACTTCACAGATCTGGATGAATGATGTGAAATATAATCAAGTGTTAACTCAGACTGTAGTTCCACCTGGAGTAAATTCTCAAGCTACCCTGCAGTATACAAAGTCATTCAAACTAGCTGCACCTTCACCAGCTTTGAGAACACTTTAATGATCAATCATTATAAAACATATCATATATATTATTCTGAAATGGACCAATCTGCACAACGACTAGTTTTACTGTCACTACTTTCACTATATTTTGATGAGAATACTTTTCTACTTTTACTTGAGGAACGTTTTGAATGCAGGACTTTTACTGTGATAGAGTATTCCTACACTCTGGTACTTCTACTTTTACTGAAGTACAATACCTGAGTACTTCTACTTTTACTCAAGTACAATATCTGAGTACTATACTTTTATTAAGTACAAGATCTGAGTACTTCTACTTTTACTCTAGCACAATATCTATACTTATACCACCTCTGTTTATAGCCTATGAAACAAAAAATTAGAAAACGAAGGCTAAAACTAACGTTAGCAGATAGTGAATGTATGCTAGCTAGCTCAACGATTCCTTAAATAATATTGCGACAGAAAAACGTTCCAGTGCACATCACGCTCTGCTCTGAACGGCCCGTTCTAACAGCTGTTCACCAGCGGCTCAGTCTGTGCCACAGTGACTCCGCACAGTTAACGAACGCAATGTAGATAATGTAGCTGACCCTCATCCCGGAGCAGCAGAGTTCATCCGACAGGCAGGAAGACTCGAGCACACAGCTCACGCTTCATATATTAAATAAATAAATAAAAAATAACACCATGCGCGTCATGATGGCACATAACAGCTCGCGACCGCAGATGATTTCGGCGATTAGATCAAATGTAAATTATATTTGACGCAACTTTAGTTATATTTCCATGACTTTTCCAAAACTTTGGGAAAAATATTGTTTTCCATAACTTTTCCAGGGCCTGAAATTTTCATTTTGAATTTCCATGACTTTTCCAGGTTTTCAATGACCGTACGAACCCTGAATAATGAATAAACTTGAATAAAGGAAAATAAGAAAAAACTATACAATTAAAATTAAATACAACAATAAAATAGTATGTGAACATATATTCATTTCACATCAAATTAATACTCTTAATCTTAATTGCAAAACTGTTTTGTCACAGCTGAAGAGAGTACAGAGGTTTTACACAAGTTCAAATAAATAATCAAATTATTTATCTACAGGAGGCGAAAGAGCACTTCGGCAGCGTGCATCTTGCCTCGTTAAATTAATGAAGATGCAGCAGGACGTAATGCAAGGATTAAAGGATCAATCAAAAGTTCTTACGAGAGTTCGAAGAGTTTTATTTCGACACGTTCTGTAAAGCACACTTCCTGCTGTTTTACAGTAACCTACAAATGTTCTTGTTTTATGGATACAACCATTTTTTTTTACTGTTATTGTCATAGGATTATACTGCCATGTGAACAATTAGCAAAACAACTTGGAAAAGTCATTTCATGGTGACTTTAAGGGCAACTGAAGGATCACATAAGCCTCTATGGAGGTCGCTCCTAAAGCCCTTATTTGAATAAAGCAGTACATATGGAGGTCAAGCTGTAAACAAGGCTGTGTAACATGACACACAAACAGCACATCCTCAACTGTGTAATGCAGAAATAATGTCCGAAACACACTTTAACACGAGGGGAAATGAGTTACTCTGTTGTCAGGGATGTGAGTTACTTGGTGTTGATGTGCTCCTTCCTCCGGGTAATCCTCAGGTCTGTACTGTCCAGACGCTGCTTCATCCAGGCTTAAGCTATCCATCAGTGTCAGATGGAAAACAAAAGCCTGGCTTCTCACTTCTGTCTCTCACAGCTCTGTTATCCAGCGCTGGCAGCACATTCACCTGTTATGGATGTCTGAGTTTAAGGCATGGCTGTACATAGAGTTCTGTCCAATATATGATACTCAATGATATACTCACCTGCAGCTGCGCAGTAGTGCAAGTGAGTTAACACCATTTTTAGGGGAACTGTAATAGTCTAAAAGCTGAATCTGCATCTCTTAGATTACATGCATGTGTATTTATTTGGTCACGTCTGCTACTCATAGATGTTTATATGCAGAATTTTGCACTAGATGTCACCTGATTTTTCACAAAGGAGAAAACAGCGCACACTCAGGGTTAGCTTTCTTCAACTTTTTTTTCACCCCTGGACAAATTTATACCAAATCTCAGTTCCAGTGACTTTAATTAACCCTTAA